TTACTGCTGTGGCTGCCTTTGTGTGATGAGAGGAACGTTGTAGTGCGCACTGACTATTCGTCATGATTGAGCAGACAACTGTAAGCTTCTAAATTGAGGTTTCTGAATCTGTGTCCTTGTCTTTCCTTTCTTGTTTTCCTATGCCGCTTCCCGGCTAAGTGCGTTGGTGCGCGAAATATCGAGGACATGGAATACGTGTGTACCGCCGATTTCGGAAAGAAGACGTTGCGCTTGCTGCGGAGTTAATGACAACTCTGCGGCAGAAGAACTCTTGCATGATTCACAAAGGGGGTGCCGCATTGCACAGCCGCGTTGATGTCTGCCTCCGCGTCTTGTCCTGAGGTAAGGTGCGGTGCGGGACGTTGCAGGGCCAGGCTGCTCCTACTTACCAGCGTCGGGCAGTGTGTCTCTGCCTGTGCGTCAATCGTGCGGAGCGAGAGTTGGGGAAGGGGTGGGTGAGACGGCTGCGGGACCTGTTTTTTTTTTTTTTGCTCGCGCCTCTTCTTCAACCGCCTCGCACCGTGCTGCCCTTGTGCACTGCTTATTGATTTTGTGGGGCGGAGAGCCTCACCGAAGCACCTGTCCAAGTCGCTTCTCCCCCCTTCCTACCCTTCCTACCCTTGGGCGGGGGCGGCGGCGGCGGCGGCGGCTGTCAACTACGTTTGCAGATGAGGACAAAAGTTGTAGTGCGCGACTGAGCGTTGCTTGGTGCTGAGCAAAAACGACCGACGCAGTCAAGGCTGCGCCCTGCTGACGCGACGTTGTTTGAACTGCCGCGGCCGTGCCTTGCGTTCCCCATGCAGATGAGGAGACCCGTAGCCACGGTGCCTTGCCCACTCGGTGGCGCACTGTGGGTGGTGGTTTTCCGAGACGCGCCGCCCCCTGGCTGTGTGACTCCCCTACTGCCGGCGTGATGACTTATTCAGAGACGGATCCCGTAATCAGAGCACTGTGCGCTGAAACGACACGATGACAATCCGTATACATATCTTGCTGACGACACCTGCTGCCCTACCCACCCACGACAGGTTGCGTTGCTGGCCGCAATGATGAAAACTTGTCTAACGACAGGCGGACCGACCCACCAATGAGGACTCTTGAATGTGTACAAATGTTGAGCGACCTGTTTCCACCCACCACTTCTCCCCTCCATTCTTGTGTGAACGCTGTCTGCGTCCCACGGGAATCTTGGCCTATTCTCGCGCTTGCCGCGACGCCCTCGTCTAACACCTCGTGCTGTGGGTTCCATTCTCAGCGGGGTGATTTCAGGGGGCGGAGAGTCTCAGCGAAACGCTTACTGCTGTGGCTGCCTTTGTGTGATGAGAGGAACGTTGTAGTGCGCACTGACTATTCGTCATGATTGAGCAGACAACTGTAAGCTTCTAAATTGAGGTTTCTGAATCTGTGTCCTTGTCTTTCCTTTCTTGTTTTCCTATGCCGCTTCCCGGCTAAGTGCGTTGGTGCGCGAAATATCGAGGACATGGAATACGTGTGTACCGCCGATTTCGGAAAGAAGACGTTGCGCTTGCTGCGGAGTTAATGACAACTCTGCGGCAGAAGAACTCTTGCATGATTCACAAAGGGGGTGCCGCATTGCACAGCCGCGTTGATGTCTGCCTCCGCGTCTTGTCCTGAGGTAAGGTGCGGTGCGGGACGTTGCAGGGCCAGGCTGCTCCTACTTACCAGCGTCGGGCAGTGTGTCTCTGCCTGTGCGTCAATCGTGCGGAGCGAGAGTTGGGGAAGGGGTGGGTGAGACGGCTGCGGGACCTGTT